TTTTTTTTTTTTTTTTTTTTTGTTGGTTGATTAAGCGTACTAGCAGTAGGGTATCAATTAGATATAATTGAGTCAAGCTATTTCAAAAAAGATTAATTTTAAGTTTAGTTACGGTATTTGGTAACAAAAGTTTTTGAAACTTACTCTACGGAATGTATTACTAATCATACTTCCATCAGATCTATTTGATATAACTGATGTTGATCTTACAAATATTGGATTTGCATTTGTTGCTGAGCTGACGCTCTCTCCATCAGCATTTACTCGAGGTACCATTATAACATCTGTTGGAGGACTAAAATTTAACAGATTTTGCGGCAGTTAAACGTAGGCGCATTTGTTTTAAGAGTTGTTATCAAAACTAGAAAATTTTAAAACGAACACCATGCCGACAGCAGATCCAACCGGTGGATGTTGGGGAATATGTGCAGTTTCTGATGAATATAATGGTTCCGGGATCGTATCACACCAAAATTTGTCTTTGACAACTGCCGGAACAAAACCAGGATTTTCATCAACTATTTTTAAAGATACCTGTGATAGTATTGAAAAAATTATTTTTAAGTAATACATTGTGATTTTTATGCAAAAGCTGAAAGTTGTTTCACCAATTGTCAAATTTAGTTGTCATTTATAAAAAGTAGATTATTACTTGATTAAGATATAGTAATAAGAAAGGAAAATACTTGTTTTTTGGTTGAATTATACTGCGGGCACACTTATAAAGTGAATATTACTGACTTTCATGGTTTTAATTTTTTCCTTTAATACTAAAAATTTTGTAAGTAAAGTTACAAGATTTTGCAAAAAGTTTTTTTTCACCTGAAGATTTCTGTCGATAGCCCAATTCACTTCAAAGTCATCATCGTCATCACCATAAGGATTCAGTAATGCTTCGGCAACTTTCATCCATCCAACATAGAAGACAAATTGGATTATCGTCATTACGGGCACATACGCATCTAGCTTAAAATAAATTCAGTTAAAAATCACACAAGTTCAAGAAGGAATTTTAATTTTTTTTTTTTGTTTAAGCAAATGTCGATTTAGAGTGTAAAATGTGCAAATTACTCAAACAGTTTGGAAATGCCAAAATTTACAGGGCCTTTTAGATCGTCATATCGGTTAGTTTTCAAGTACTGTCTTCCTAAAAGCGCTATGGTGAAGTAGAGTCGCACTGTCAAAAATACTACTTGTGTATAGACTAAGGGCAGTGGCACCCAGTCATATAAAGATACGGTTTGTAAGTTTGTTCGAAAGTCCAAAATTCGCTAAAAATCAATGCAGTTGCGGTGTCGTTTTTATATTAATATAATTTAATTTTCTTAAAAATCATTTTGTTTTCTCAGTATGTAACAATAAAATATTTACTTAATTTAAGACTAGTTTTTTGAACACTATTATTTGTCCTTACTGAATCTACTTGACAAAAATTACGTTTTGAAGGTTAAAGCTTTCTGAACAAAGTAAAACAGCAATTTAACACTGTCAAAAACTGTTATCTCTGTCATCTTTAATTATGGATTGTTAAGTAAATGAAATATTTAGTGTTAACGTTTTATTATTAAAAATAATGTTAAAAACGAGTACCTTATACATATCTTGAACAGCAAAATCATTAGCCACCAAGCCCTCAGATCTTGCTTGCCTGATAATTGCCATAGCCCATCGGACAGGTACCCAGTATTTTTTATGTGGTGTTTCTGTTTCGTCTAACAACACTTTCTCAGCTTCATTTATAAATCCTAAATAACAACAGTTAACAAGCTTATAATATTGTATTAGAACTTAAAATTTTTTTATTATAACTATCTTTACAGCGAAATTATTGCACTGCATATGTTGCTGGTAAAATAAGCAAGCGGTGACGAATTGAAAGGATTTATACAAAACCTTTCTTGAAATAACTCAACGTTGTCTTGGTTCCTATATTTTCAGTTAAATAGTCATACTATATTCTTTAGTTATAATATGTAAAAAAAACATAATAAATGAATCAATCAATTGACAGTGTAAAACTTACCTCAAAAAGAAGAAATTTTTTAATATTATCAATAACATATTAGTTGACAATTAAAAAAATTTAAGAGTTTAGCATCAGTTGAGGTGAGATTAGATGAGAAAAAAAAACAACTGTTCACTATGATACCTGCAGCAACTAAAGATTCTGGAGTCGGAAATCTTCGTCGTACTTTGATGCTGATATCACGGAAAACTAGAGTCTAAATTTAACGTGATACGATAGATCAATCAGGCCACAACAAATATAATATTATAAGAACTTAGACAGATTTAGCGTTATATAGATGTTAATTTTTATAGTGCTCGTAATCAAACTGCTATGCATCATACGAGAAGACAATAACTGTTAAATTTTCTTCAAGTTTTTCGTTTACAATAAATTTTTTACTTGAAATTCAAGTCAATAATTCAAACCAGTACAGTCATTTGAAAGTTGCATTAGTATCACTAAGCTGCATTTCTATTTTAACTTGTGAATTGAAAAAAACACCTTGTTTGCACTTGAAAAAAGGGAATCAAACCTGCATCAAAATCATATATCTGGCAATATTTCGTTTCATCATTCGTGCTCTTAAGCTTGTTCCTTGAACATAACTTGATACATATAATGAGAAGCTGAAATGTTTAATGTGGAACAAAATTTTGATTATCAAAAGATGAGAATATACTGTTTACACTATTATCACTCATACTGCGTACTTTTTAAAAAACAAAAATTCTCCATTATCAAAATAAATGACAAAGTTTTTAGTTTAATTAAAATAACATTAAAAATTCGGTTTAAATAATTTAAAATGAAGTTTCTATTAGATCGTAAATTAGCAGTGTTCAAAAATGCCAAGATGATTTTGTAAAACTCACTTATCACACCAGCCCATATTGTTAAACATATCTGTCCATCTGTTTATAACTTGTTGTACAAAAAAACCAAGCATAAATGTTAATGGTATATATTCAGCATATTTATAACATAAAGCACATACATCTTCAAATGTTCTGCAAATATTTAATGATTAGGAATTAAAAAATAACAAATCACTTTTTGTACAGTGCAGGTATTGCTATTTTTAAGTCTAGAAACAGAAGTTTTATATTGTGTATTTTATGAAAAAATGTCAGAAGAATTGATAAAATAGTAACAGTAAATCTTACTTTTGTTGTTCCTCATTTAAACCTAATCGGTAAATAAGTGATAACGTTGCATAGGCGACACACCATATAATTAACTCGCAGTATACAGATTTCCATAAACTACCTCTCCATCTAAAAAGTGCCTTTCCAAATGCTTTTAATGAGCAGTTTGAAACATCGCCTGTGTATGTTACTGTCATAATCAGCTGTCAAATTGGCACTGAAACTAGCATATCAGTTTATCGTTTTACATTGATTAAGACTGGAAAATATTAGACGAAATTAACTGGTGAACTACAAATGTCATAAATGCAAATAATAATTGTAAAGAAGTTGACAATCTTTTGCTAGAAAATTTATTGTTAATGTAATTATGGTTAGCAAAATTAAAATGATGACAATTATTAACAAGTAAAAGCATATGTTTCAGCTGCGATCGAATCGCCAAGAATGAAAAAATATGTCGAGGTATAACAACAAAGAGTATTTGTTGATTTTAATATGCTTATGATGATTTCCTATAGAAAAAGGCAATTCGTGTAATGCCACAATGATAGAAAGTCGAAATATGATACTACCAACACTGGTAATAATAATTAT